GTCTCACAGAACTGTTTGCCTTGGGCTAGCTTTGAACCACAATCCTCCTGATCTCTGCCTCCTGAGTAGTTAGGATCACAGGCATGAGCCACCTGCCCCCAGCAGGGATATTGGACTTAAATACGTTAATGTATGCATATTACTTGCTATAGTATCTGGCATGTGGTAAGCACTCAAACATTAGTTGCTGTTAATTTCTTTGCCTTGACATCATAGTTCACCTTTAGTGCAGTAGCCAATCTGGGTGTCTCTTTAATAAAAAAGACCAACATATTTTTCATACTTTATACAACTTCTCAAACTCCTTGTGCCTCCAGAAAGAAGTACTTTTAACATCTGGTTAAGATTTGACATACACTGCCAATCCACCACCAGGTCTCTTTCACAGAGTCCCCTTGTCAGGCAAAGGACGGGGTCTGAAACAAAATTTTCTGTTGTTTTGTTTTTGCTTTTATGAGACTGGCTATATAGCCTAGGCTAGCCTCCAACTCTGGATCCTCTGGATTATGTGCTTGGATTAAGTGGCTGGGATTATAGGCATGAGCCATCATGCACAAGCTTCTATGATATTTTGTGAGTACAGGATAAACAGACCCAAGGTATATCACAAATTGTCAATATAAATGGGAGCAAGACTGAGAAGATCTGAGTTGGAATCAGTTTATTTAGAACACAAATAGACCTTAAGTTATTTACCCCTAAGGGAAAATTAGGATCTAGAAAGGCTAAGTGATTTACTAAAATTGTCTGCCGTTAGGGAAAGTAGTAATAGTAAAATGGACACTAGATAAATTCTGCCTTAAGATGTTTAACTGTCTTGTTGTTTTCTGCTATTATGTAAAAAAGTTAACTCAGTGTAGGTTTTACCTTTCTGTTTCTTCATTTCCAAAATATTCCCATCATATATTGATTCTATCATATGTCCTAATTCTCACAATGAGGTTATCTTAGGCAAGAAAGGTATTTGATATAAAATGATAGACTTATACAGTGTTTCTCAAAGGATGGTTTTGAGTATATTACATTATTAGTTTTTAAAAATTCAGCCGGGTGCTGGTTGGTCACATCTGTAATTCTAGCTACTTGGGAGACTGCGATTAGGAGAATTGAGGTTTGAGGCCAGCCTGGACAAATAGTTTGAGAAATGACATCTCCAAAATAACTTAGAGCAAATGGACTGGAGGTGTGACTCAAGCATACCTGTGTTGCAAGTGTAGAGCCCTGAGTGCAAACCCCAGACACACACACACAAAAAATTGTGGTAAAATATGTAACAAAATTTACCATTTTAACCACTTCTTAGTGTACCATTCACTGCTATTGTTTACATTCACTGTGTTGTGCAACCATTGTCACTATCTCTTCCCCTAAACATAAAGCAAAAACTCCTCATCCCTCCTTTCCCCGGCCCTTGGTAGTCTCTGTTCTACTTTTTGTCTTTTTTGCAGTACTGTGGTTTGAACTCAGGGCTTCACGCTTGATAGGCAGGCACTGTCTGACTTAGTTCACTTAGCATAATGTCTGCAAGGTTCATTCATATAATAGGTGCCAGAACTTTGTTTTTCAGGCTTATATTTTATTGTATGTGTTTACCACATTTGTTAATACATTAATCTGTTAATGGATATTGGTTTTTTTTTTTCCTTCACATTTTTGCTGTTGTGAATAACGCAGTTATGATCTTTTGTGCAAAAGCTTTCATTCACTTCTTTTGGGTATATACCTAGAAGTAGTATTTTTGGTTCATGTGGTAATTCTGTATTTAATTTTTTGAGGAACTGCCATACTGTTTTTCTGCATAAGCTGCATTACTTAGCAATGCACAGGGTTCCAGTTTTACCACTTCCGTATTAATGTTCTCGCTCTTTTTTTTCTTTTTTCCAGCACTGGGGTTTGAACTCAGGGTCTACCCCTTGAGTCACTCCTAGCCCTATTTTTGTGATTTTTCTTTTTTCTTCCCCCCCCCCCCCCAGGTAGGGTCTCACAGACTACTTGCTGGCTTCAAACTGCGATCCTCCTTATCTCTCTCTTCTGAGTAGATAGGATTACAGATGTGAACCACTGGAGGCCAGCCTAATGGTCATTATTACTATCATTATTTTTAATAATAGTTATACTCCACATGGATTTAAAGTGGGATCTAGTTGTGGGTTTGATTTTCCTAGTGTTCATTGATGTTCAACAAGAGCATGCATCCATGTGCGTATTGACCATTTGTATGTCTTTGGAGAAATGTCTATTCAAGTTGCCCATTTTTGAATTGGTTTGTTGATTTGTAAAAGTTTCATGATTTGCAAATATTTTTTCCAATTCACTGATTTGGCTTTTTACTCTCTTGATAGTATCCTTTGCACAAAGATTTTTAATTTTGGTAAAATACAGTTTATTTGGGATTTTTGGTTCTTTTTTCATTTTTTTTTCTTCTGTCACCTTGTGCTTTTGCTGTCATGTCTAAGAAAGCTAATCAAATCTAATGTCACTTTTTCCAGTGTCTTTTTTCTTTTCTTTTCTTTTCTGTACTGAGGATTGAACCCAGAGCCTTGTGCATGTTAGGCAAGTGCTCTACGACTGACCCACAATCTCAGCCTGGATCTTGTGATTCTCCTTTCTCAGCCTCTTGGGTAGCTTGGATTGTACATGTGTACTGTCACACCGGCTCCTGTTGTTTTCTACTAAGAGTTTTATAGTTTTAGCTCTTAGGTTTTATAACTTTACCTTTTATTTTGAGGTGTTTTGTTTCATGTGGTGTAATGTAAGGTTCCAATTTCATTGCTCTTTACATGTGGATATCCAATTTTCCCAGCACTCTTTGTTGAAATGTATTTAATCTTAATTTAAGTTTGATAGCCACATGTGGCTAGCAGGTGTCATATATTGGGTAATACAGATTTAGATAATCATACAGTTTTCTCCTTTGGATCACTAAGTGGAGTGCTAATTCTCAGAGCTAACAAACACATTTGCATTCCTGGCATATCATACTAGTTAGAAATACTTTGTTTTAGTTACTTGTTCATGTTCCCTTTTCGTAGTAGCTTAATTTGAATGTCTATGGGAATTGTTTAGAAAAAGATTGTGGGGCTGGTGAGAATTGGCTCACCTTGGTAGTATGCGTGAAGCCCTTAGGTCAAACCTCAGTGCCACCAAAGAAAAAGAAAAAGAAGTATAAAAAAAGAAAGAAAAAGACTGTGCCTTCTTAAAAGATGTTCTCAGGCCAGGCTCTGGTGGCTCACTCCTGTAATCCTAGTTACTCAGGAGGCAGAGATCCAGAGGATTGTGATTCAAAGCCAGCCCAAGGCAAATAGTTCTCAAGATCCTATTTTGAAAAACCCATCACAAAAAAGGGCTGAGTGGCTCAAGTGGTAGAGTGTCTGCCTAGCAAACCCCAGTGCTTCCAAGGGCTGGCATGGCACTCATGGGAGGCCAGTAACTTCCTTAGGCTACCTAAAAGCACTTACTATGAAAGTTATCTGGAATAGAAACAGAGCACAATAGTAAGTCCGTTGGAGATTAGCTGATTTCCTCTGTTAAAATTTTAAAATGGCTTTGCCTTTTGGGCTTTACCTGTAGCAGAAATTGTGTTATTCGCCTACTTATCTCCAGGATTATTGTGAGGATTAGTTATGTTCTTAAAACACTTACGAGCTGTATTATAGAAGTTTATGTTAATTAGGGTTTACATCAGCATTGGGGATAGGGGAAAAAAACACTTATCCTTGATAGTATTAAAACTGACACAAGTAATTTTTCACACTGTTGCTGACTCCCTACTTGAAACAGCCAAAAAGAAATCAAGAATTTGTATTTCTTTTTCTGTTTTCTTTAAGAAATGGGAATGTCTTAGCTGGAGCATGATCCTTCCCTATGTCCTTAAGCTTTCTGTACTTAAAATGCTAATGGAAGAAGTACTTTTGAATATAGGAAGAAGGAAAGCATGTAAAAAGACAGGAGAGTTGGGGGAGCTTCTTATACCATGTTAGAAACACTGGGATGGGGCCAGGCTTCCTGTATAATTGGGATGATAGGTACATGCCACCATGCCCAGTTTTTTATAAATTGGTTGACATGGGGGAGTCTCTTGAACTTTCTGCCCAGGCTGGCCTGGAATCAAGATCTCCACCTCCCATGTAGCTAGGATTATAGGCATGAGACACCACACCTGGCCCAACAACTTGTTATTGTCCATTTATTTGATGATAGACATCCTGGTGGGTATGAAGTAGTATCTCATTGTGGTTTTGATTTTCAGTTTCCTAGTAACTAATGATACTAAGCGTCTTTTCATCTGATTATTGGCTATTTGTGTATCTTCTTTGGAAAGACATTTTGTCTTCAAAGCTAAATGTTTACATCTGCTATTTAGCATGCTGTTGTTTCAATTAACTTTCTTGATCTGAGATAAGAGAAGTTTGGTCTTTTAGTTCATGTTTTAATTTATTCTTGAGGTTGTTTTACAAATCTAATTTTAGAAACGACTCTCCTGTGAGAAACGGTATTTTGTATGTTCCCTTGAATGTCGTCCATAAAGACAGTTTGACCTCACTTTGAAAAGCCTGTGATCAACAGACAACATATTTAGCAGATCCTATTTGGTTATGCTTTTATTGTGAATTTGTATCTCTTGGCTTAAAGAATTAGCAAAGGGTAAAAATCATAGGTAAGGAATCTAGTGGTTCATTAAAATTTTGTTACATTCAGTGCATTTTTAGAACATCAGCTGATCTTAAGCTGAGAGAAACGAAAGATCTGTATGACAAGGAAAATTGATGCTTGACATAGCAACTGAGTTTGAAAGTAGCACTCTATATGTAAGCAACACTTTGACCACTTGTGACATAGCATGAAAAAGTGCATGATTTCTGCTGGGCAGTAGCTCATTCCTATAATCCTAGCTACTCAGGAGCAGAGATCAGGAAGATCGTGGTTTGAAGCCAGTCCAGGGAAATAGTTCGCAAGACCCTATCTCAAAAATATCCAACACAAAACAGGGTGGTAGAATGGCTCAAGTGGTATAGCACCTGCCTAGCAAGCTTGAAGACCTGAGTTTGAATCCCAGTACATGATTTTTTTTATGTCTCTTCTTTCCCAGCGTGGTACCATGAGACGACGCTATGAAGATGATGGCATTTCAGATGATGAAATTGAAGGCAAAAGAACTTTTGACTTGGAAGAGAAACTCCATACCAACAAATACAATGCTAATTTTGTTACTTTTATGGAGGGAAAAGGTCAGTATCATTTTGGTTCAGACCCCCACCCTTGATGTAGGAAATCATAGACTCTGAGAACTATGGATTTAGCGTCTGTACAACTAAAATACTATTACATAAAGCCATTTATACATAACTCTCCCCTCTACCCTTCTACTCATGAGTCATTCTCTGCTATATTAGTAGTCTTTTATTAGGGTAGGAATGTTGTTAGAGTTTTTCTCCTAAAGGCATTTTCCTTCTCTCATCCTTTGGTTTGGGTTAAATTAAAAATACTATAATACATCTTCTTGTATGCATATACTCACCCCACTGAAACAGAGGTGGGATACCTCATGTATTGTGTAGCTTTGATAACCTGGCAAACTGATAAAGGTATCATTTGTGTAGTGGAGTGGTCAGAATTAATTTTTTGACTGTTAAGAGACAGGATAATAAATTCTACTTAGGATTTATGAAATAGTAGTATTACCTTCTGCTTTTAATTCAGGTTTCCTGTGGAAATACAGACTTAACAAATCCCTCAACCCCTGCTTCTTAGTGTGCTTTTCCCATTAGTAACAAGCATGTATTTGTTGTCTAGCACAACTATATACACAGAATAACAAACATTATTTATACCTATTACATCTTTTATTATGATCCTTTTATCCTTTTCCAACAAGACCTCTTGTCTTTCTAATAAGTGTTTTCCTGTGGTGACAGATTTTAATGTTGAGTATATCCAGCGGGGTGGCTTGAGAGATCCTCTGATTTTCAAGAATTCTGATGGACTTGGAATAAAGTAAGTGTTCTGGGCCTGGCTGGATGTGATTATGAAATGACCCTCAGGGCTCAGACAGTGGTAGTATTGAGAACTCAGAGCAGTAGGTAATTGAAAATAATTTTCTTTTGTTACACAAATGACTCATAAGAAAATGAAAAAATATAGGTAAGGTAAAAAGAAATTTAAATCTCTTGAAATCTTCTACCCTTAGATAATCATTATTAACATTTTGTTATATTTTTTTCTATGTATGTATGTAAATATACATTCATTTATATTTAAGAAATAATTTTCAACCTCAATGTGAAGATAGATGTGCCTGATTAGGGAGTTCTCAATACTTTTCATAGTGGAAGAAAAAAACTTCCACTACGTAGAGAAGTTGTGCTTTCCATTCCATTTACACCTACTGATGTTCATTTCATAGAATGCCGGATCCAGACTTCACTGTGAATGATGTCAAAATGTGTGTGGGTAAGTACCAAGCTTTTGGTCTCTGCATCTTTGAGCCTAACAGCTAAGGCTTAGGAACATTGAAGTATATACTTGATTAGAAACTATTACTTCATTAGCAACTAAGAATTTTCCTAAATAGAATTACAAAAGTTGCCTCATTTAATACTCACTAAGCATAGGAACTAGGAATTCAGGGATGATAACTCTTACATGCGATAAGGCAGTAAAATCATTTGGAAATTTTTCCAGCCAAACATGAAACAAAAGGATTTGTTTTGTTTGTTTGACTCTTTCCTCCATAACACTCTTCTGAACTGAAACTCCAGTGCCATTCTTTGCTTTGGAAACTAAGTATTGCAGTACCAAGTCTTGACCACTTGAGGGCCCTTGTTAGACGTCTGGATAAACTGTAAGAAGTGAAAGTCATAGGTAGCCGGATTTCTCAGATCCCTTTGCTGTGCTTTTGTTAGATTTAGTCATCTGTCTGTATTTCCTGTTACTTAGCACAGCTCCTGGAGTGTAGTAAGTGCTCAGTAAATCAGATGAATAATTAAAACATTTTCCCACTCTTCATTAGCAGAGCTTTCTCAGGAGGCCTCCCCTACTTGAATACTTACAAGTCCATCATTTTACTTCCTTTCTTAATGGACTTCCAGGACAGTAATTCTTTGAATTCATGACACAGCTGATAACCATAACTTTTCTCTGTTGGTTTATGGTCCACAAATGACTTGCATGAGAATCATCTGTGAAAACTTGTTAAAAATACAGATTCCTAGAGGATTCTGGGAAGATGGCTGGCTTTTCTTCCCTCCTAGATGGTATAGATATATTAGCAGAATCTGTCTGATATAACTATTTTGGAACTCCACATTGAAAGTTTGCAACTTCCAGGGGACGATTTGGACAGTAAAGTACATTTCATTCCAATGAATTTTAGATCTTAGCACAGTAGTAGCCACTCCTCCCTGCCCCCTGCCAACAAGGCTGCATGTGAAGCAGCTGTACATGTGTTTCCTGGACCTATTGGTACACAGCTCAGAGAAGCCAGGATGAATAGAAAGAGACCTTTTCATATATTGAGGGATCTGTGCTTTGATCACTGAGGTACAGGAAAAAAAGGCAGGTGGAGGTGGCCACTGTTGTACTTCCTCAGCTGTCATAAGGCCTTCCCCTATTAACCAGGTGACTTCCATGGTATTTAAAAAGCCAATGTAGGCTGGGCATCAGTGGCTCACACCTGTAATTCTAGCTACTCAGGAGGTAGAGATCAGGAGGATCACAGTTTGAAGCCAGTTGGACAAATAGTTTGCAAGACCCTATCTCGTGAAAATACTCAACACAAAAAAAGGGCTGGCGGAGTGGCTCAACTGGTAGAGCATCTGCCTAGCAAGTGTGAGGTCCTGAGTTCAAACCCAGTACCAGCTACAAAAATAAATAAATAACTGAAGCAGAGAAAGAGTTGGAGCATGGCGGTGGTTGGAGACTTTAAAATTTGTTTCTTGATAATACATAGAAAAACTAGATAGAAGATAAGTAAGGAAATAGAAGCCTTAACACAGTAAATCAGTTAGATCAAACAGCCATACACAGAATGCCCAACAATATTCTTCTCAAGCATATGGGGCATTTTCCAAGATAAATCATATGTTAGGCTACAAATAAATTGTAATAGATTTAAACAGAAGTATCAAAGCAACTTCTCCAACTATAGCTGGAAAAAGTTACAAGTCAATAACAGAAGTAAAACTGGAGGTTCACAAAGTTAAACAACGCACTCTTAACCAATGGAATAAAGAAGAAAGCACAGCATATCAAAATTTAGGAGATGAAACAAAAGTAGCAATATAGAGAAAATCGTAGTTGTTAATGTTTGTATTAAACAACATGAAATCTACTAGGTACCAGAGCTCACACCTGTAATCCTAGCTACATGGGAGGCAAAGATCAGGAGGATCAAGGTTCGAAGCCAGCCTCTGGCAAATAGTTCTTTTTTTGGGTGCACCATTCCCGGAGGTACTGCAATACTAGGTCAATGCATGGAGTGGACGGAGCAAGCTCCATATTCCATCTCCCTGTTCCAAATATCCATTTAATATATTGTCCTGGATAGAGGACGTATCAGATATTAAACTGATAAGAACAGATACTACACTTGATCTTAGCCAAAAGGCCGAGAAGCGATGGCAAATAGTTCTTGAGACCCTATTTTGAAAACACTTATCACAAAAACGGGCCAGCAACAGAGTGGCTCAAGTGGTAAGAGCACCTGCTTAGCAAGTGTGAGGCCCTGAATTCAATCCCAGTGCCACCAAGAAAAAACAGAAAATCTTGGCTGGAGGTTTAGCTCTAGCAGTAGGACACATACCTTACAAGTGCAAAGCCCTGAGTTCAAACCCCAGTACTGCCAAAAAAAAAGTGTCTCTAAAAACATCAAAAAAACGCAAAACTCCCAAGAATTCTTCAGTTAACAACCTAATACTACAATTTAAGGAACTAGTAAATGAAGAACAAAGTAAACCTAAAGTTAGTGAAGGAAAGAAATAATAATTAGAGCAGAGATCAATGAAATAGAGAACAGAAAACCATTTCTGCTGCTGAAACATATCAGGCTGAGTCCAACCAGGGACTTTGAATATGTCGGGAAAAGCAGACTTTTCCAGGAGAGAAAAGACCACCTATTTGGCTTTGTGGCTGTCCTGACAAAGAATTGTGACAGCCTCATGAGCCTGGTGAATTGGGAATGCACCATCCTGGAACAAAAGGGAGCTCTATGGGAAGGAGATTTGTTAAACTCAGAAGCTTTTCAAGGGATTATCCATGCTCACCACTGAAATGTAAATTTGAGCCACTTCTATTTCACCCAGATGTGTAACCTTTGGGCACAGTATGCCTGATCACCGTGGAGGAAGATAAGGACTGGAGACCAGTCGTCACCGTCAAACAAATCTTATTAGGAATACAGAAATTTCTAAGTGAACCAAATATCCAAAACCAAGCTCGACCTAGCTCAAGCAGAGGCCTACATGATTTACTGTAGGAAAGGGGATTTGAACTACATGATTTACTGGGGAAAGGGTTTGAACACAAATCAACAGTTTGCCCTCTTACAAGTTGCAACCTCGGGTCACTGTGAAAAGGAAGGGATTGGTTTGGCAAGAACTTGTTTACAACCTTCTGCAAATCTAAGTCACTCCATACAAATTACTAGTCACTGGAAGGGTTGGGCAGACAACCATCTTCCATTTCTTGATTTGCTGAATTACTCTAGTTTTTCATGCAGGGTCTCTCCTTTCAGTCTTTTTATTATTATATAAAACTTGCTTTTATTTTAATATTGATATCAGTATTTCCACTGTTGTAAAATAGTAAACTCTTATGTTCATTTAAGTCTCTAGGGAGCTAGTTCCTTTCTCTCGGATGCAAGCATACTTCACACCATTCAGAGCTCTCCACAGCCCCTGACTGTTGACAAAGAAAACCATGCTGGTCCCTTCTTCACCATATTTGTTCTCTGCAGAACCTAGGCTGTTGCTTATGAGCCTCGGATCCAAAGTCAGCCAATGTCTCCATTCTGCACCACTTCCTTTGTGTTTATATGGTGTTTTGTCTGTGCTGCTGTTTAAATTGTATGTTAAAAAAATACAGAAGACTATAAGAGGGTACTATTCAGTTGTTCACCAGCAAACTGAATAACCTACATGTGGCTACGGCCATACTTCCTTGAATGTGCCTGATCTTGATTGAATAACCTAGAAGCAATTGACAAATTCCTAGATCCATATAACCTATCAAGACTGGTGAAGAAATAGAAAATCTGAATAGGTTTATAGTTAGAAGATTGAATCAGTATTTAAAAGTCTCCCAACAAAGAAAAGCCTGGGCCTAGTGGCTTAATTGGTAAATTCTACCAAGCATTTGAACCAGACCTCCTCAGACTTCGCCAAATAATTGAAGAAGGATCACTTCTTAACTGATTCTGTATGGACAGCATTACCTTGATACCAAAGGCAGAACAATAAAAGAAAACGACAGGGGACTAGGACTGGAGGTGTAGCTCAAGTGGTAGAACACCTGCCTAGTAAGCCCGAAGTGCTGGGTTCAAACCCCAGTACTTAAAAAAAAAAACCCAAAAGACCAAAATCCCTTATTAACATTGATGCCAGCATCCACAACAAAATACCAACAAACAGAATTCAGCTTTATATTGAAAAGATTATACACCATGACCAAGAATTATTTCTGCGAAATAAAGATGTTTCAAAAACTGCCAGTTGAATAGACGTTTCCCCAAAGAAGATACACAGATGGTCAATAAGCAAATGAATACATGCTCTTGCTCAATATCACCTAGATCCTGCTTCGTACCTATGTGAAGTATAGTTACCATAAAAAGAAAAATTCCATGTTCATGGGTTGGAAAACTGCAGTTTTTGATGGGGGGTGGGGGTTTCTGGATTGGAACTCCGGGCCTTGAACATGCTGGACAAGCACTGTACCAGCGAGCTGCGCTCAGTTTAATATTCATGTTGGTACTTAATAAGATGCTAAAGCTACACAGAGTGATTCTCATATTCAGTGCAATCCCTTTCAAAACCCTAACGATGTTATTTTGCAGAAATAGAAATACTCATCCTGAAATTCACATAGAATCTCCAGGGGTCTTGAAGACCAAAATGTCCTTGAAAAAGAAGAGAATGAGAAGATACACTGTCCTTAGTTCAAAAGTTAATACAAGCTATAGAAATCAAAATAATGTGTTGCTGGTATAAAGATGGACATACAGACCAATGGAATAGAATAAAGAGCCTAGTAGTAAACACTCATATGGTCAGATGATTTTAGACAAGTGTACCAAGACCATTCATGGGTGAAGGGCAGTTTTTTCAACAAATGGTGCTGGGAAAACTGAGTACTACATGCAAAAATACAAAAATTACTCAAATGTATTAAAGACCTAAATGTAAGACCTAAAACTTTATAAAACTTAGAAGAAAACAAATAAAGGTTCATGATAATGGATTTGGCAGTGATTTCTTTGATGTGACACCAGCTGGCAATAAATAGATAATTTGGGCTAATTAAAAATTTCAAAACTTATATACCAAAAGACATGACCATAGTAAAAAGGCATCTTAGAGAATGGGAGAAAATATTTACCAATCCTGTGTCTAGTGTATATAGAGAACTAAGACTCAACAACTAAAAATTCAGTTCAAAAAGGGGCAAAGGAACAGATGTCTTCAGAGACGATATACAAATGACCAATAAAGACACAAGCAAATGCTCAGCAATACAAATTATTAGGGAAATGCAAACCACAGCTACAGTTGGTTGTAGAGTGATGCTTAGCAGGGATGAAACCATGGGTCAATACCTAGCACTATAAAACAAGAACCTACAGTGAAATATATCACTTTATATCCTTCTCTACCCTTTATTGACAGTTTTTTACTCTCTCTCTTTAGGTCACCATTTTCTTAATCTTACAGTTGTACTTACTTTATGTACCTCGTCTTAGGCTGTTGCCTCTGCTTGGAGTTGTCTGTTTTTAATCTTCCCTTAATAGAATTTTACTTATCCTTCCACCTGTTTTCCTAATGTCTTTCCTGATCAGCAGATAAAAATAATGAAATTTTCCTTTTGTTTTTACTGGTGTTCAATTGAACATATGCTTTGTACTAAACATTTTACTTCATTGACTTCAGATCCTCACAAAGTGACATTAGTCAAGAAGGTATTAGGGCTTTCTTAGAGAAGTTGCATAACTTTCCCACGTTATGTTGGAGATGAGATTAAACTTCATTCTCTTTGGCTCCAAGGCTGTTGCTTTCTCCTTGTACTAGTTAAAGCTAATTCCTGTGGTATTCTGCATTTTGTTGTAGTTATCATAGTAGATGGAGAATCTGATAATAAATAATTATTGACAAGTTTGCAGGAAGAAAAGACCCATTAAACTGAAAAATGGACAAATTCAAATTTAACTTGGTACCCACTAAATCATGAATCCTTTATTCAATTTGTGGGATAGATTGGGTCAGTCTTCAAATCTGCATCACTGCTTTGTCTTGCAAATTACTGACACTTATTTTCTCATATACGAATGGATATTGACACTTAGCATTTAGAATTGTTAGGATTAAGTGAGTGATTGAATAAAAGATTTAACACCTGATGGTGAGGTAAACATAGCATAGGAAGTAATTGTTAGTTTTTAACTGTACCTGTTGTTTCTTTTCCCTTCTCTGTGATTTGATTATGATTATCTATCTGAAATGAGAACCTTTATCCTTGTCTATTACTAAATGCCCTAAATAAGAGAGGACAGTTTATTTCCTTTCTCTTATGTTTTTCATTCTTAATATGTTTAAGAATATTAGTGGTTCAGTAGAGATGATCAATGGTTCTTTCATGGCAGGGAGTCGTCGGATGGTGGATGTTATGGATGTGAACACACAGAAAGGCATCGAAATGACCATGGCTCAGTGGACACGCTACTATGAGACCCCAGAGGAGGAGCGAGAGAAACTCTATAATGTCATCAGCCTAGAGTTTAGCCATACCAGGCTGGAGAACATGGTGCAGAGGCCTTCCACGGTTAGTCTTCATTTTCTTCATAAGGCCATTGTCACCAAAAGGATTGTTTTTATGCTGGGAAAATATATTACTTTTTTGCACATACCAAGATTAAGCAGAATGTGAAGAGAATATTTGGTAGGATTAACTTGTGATTTTTACAAGGCTCTTCATTTTTCAAAATCACTTTTACAGATTTAGAATCATTCTGACTTGGATTACCAATAATTTAATTTAGGAACATTGACTTTTGCATGTAATGGAGAGGAATCTTAAAATTCACTCTTACGGCTAGACACACTGGCTCATACCTTTAATCCCAGCTACTTGGGAGGTAGAGATCAGGAGGATTGAGGTTCAAGGCCAACCCTGGGAAAAAGTTAGTGAGACCCTATCTCAACCAAATAATCAGAGTGGTGGTACGTAACTGTCACCCCAGCTATATATCCCAGACCAGACATGATCAGACATAGGTCTGATCATGGTCTAAGGCTGGCCCCAGGCATAAAGCAAGACCCTGTCTGAAAGATAACCTAAAGCAAAAATGTCTGAAGGTGTAGCTCAAGTGACAGAGTACTTGTCTAGCAAGCATAAGGCCCTGAGTTCAAACCCCAGTACTGCCCCTTACCCCCCTCGAAAAAATTCATTCTTATAACTGTTGGTGGGAAGTTTGTTTAAGAAATTTCTGTCTTGGTGTTCTACAGGCCTTCTGGCCCAGGGGCACCATCAGGGGTTGTGGGTGGTGTGGGAGTATAGCAGCAGTGCCCACTTCCAGGCAGCTGTGGCAGCTCCTCCACCTTGCTACAGTCCAACATGCTAGATCTGGATGAGGACTAGGACAACATGGACGTGATCAGTAATAATGCCTTATTAATGGATATGAACACCTTTCAGCCCTCAGTCCTGTGATGCCAACATCCCCATTATCAATGATAAACCAAATCAAGTTCAAATATGAGTCAGATTTAAAGAATCTCTTCATTATAGTTGATGAATCTGAAAGTCATGTTAGTACAATTGAAATTTACATTACTTATAGGATTATTACTAAGACATCTCATGGGGAATTTGACTCCAGTGAATTTGAAGTTAGGAGATGTTATCAAGATTATCTTTGGGCTGGTGGAGTGCCTCAAGTGGTAAGAGTGCTTGCCTAGCAAGCATGAGGTCCTAAGTTCAGTGTGTGTGTGTGTGTGTGTGTGTGTGTGTGTGTGTGTGTGTAGATACATATTGTTGATCATCACCTTTAACATTTAATTCTCACTGCACAAGCTTGGTAACTCTTCTCACAAGAAGTAAGAAGAATAGGGATGCAGTCAGAGCTATTGTATCCTCCATGAGAGCAGTTAAAAACTGGCCAGGGAAGTTTATGGAACTGAATAACCTTAATGAAATATTTAGTCAGAAAATTAATAGATAAAATATTTCAAAGAATTTATAAGGAAGAAAGGGAATATTTTGATTAAATGAAAGAATATGACTCCACCAAGTGCCAGTGGCTCATGCCTGTAATACTACTTCATCAAGAGGCAGATACCAGGAGGTTCACTGTTCAAAGCCAGCCCCAGGCAAATAGTTTGTGAGACCCTATCTTGAAAATACCCAACTCAGAAAGGGCTGGCGGAGTGGCTCAAGTGGTAGAGCACCTGCCTATCAAGCATGAAGCCCTGAGTTCAAAGTCCATTTACCTCCAAAGGAAAAAAAAAGAATATGATCCAATTATTCTGTGGTTGGCATCCAGAAGAAAATATGATTGATGTTCTGAAAGGTATTGCCAGTTGCATTGACAAATGTAGTAAGGGCACTGAAAAAGCAAATGTTTGGCCTCTGAGAGGACTTGCTTCATACATGAGTATGTGTTTTATAGTGCTGTTTAATCAGTACTATGAAAAGAAGAGACAAAATGTAAGCAGAACTGGATTCCAGAGTCAAAACTTTGACTTAACAAAAGGGGAGCTCCAGAGAGATTACTTACAGAAGAGACTGGAAAACTTGAAGATAAAGTGGAATGTGCTAATAATGCCTGGAAAGCAGATTGGGAAAGATGGAAACAAAATATACAAAATGATACTCAGTATTTACAGGTATGGTTGAGGAGAGTATCCACTATTATGAACAGTGCCTTGCTACAGGGGAATCATTCCTTACATCACAGACTGACCTCCACTTGGAAGAAAACTGAAAATAAACTTTAGTCCCATTGAAGACTTCTGTTTGATCTTTGAGGGACACCATCATTCAACCAAAGTTTTTCTTTTTGGATTCTCTATAATCTTTATAAAGTAGATGAAAAATGTTTCATACTATATGAAAACCAACAATTTTAGAACTTAGATATTTCAGGTCATCAATATGAATTTGGGAGATAAATATATATATATACACACATATATAGAGAGAGATCTAGGATATATTTTATGCAGATATTTTAAATATGTTGTAAAGACTTTTAATAAAAGCTTTAATAAAGGTGGGAAAAGAAATTTCTATCCTATAGGTTTGCATTTGCTGAGATACTTAGGAGGAAACTGGTTTAGAGCTAGAGAGATGGGTTGTTTGACTAGAATCTAAAGGCTGATGACTAAGAATAGATTGGCAATCAATCTGTGTGTGTTTGTGTGTATGACTTGAGTTTGAACTCCGGGCTTCACACTTAATGAGCAGGTGCTCACAAAGCAGGTTCTCTACTGCTTTAGCCACACTTTCAGTCCATTTTGCTCTGGTTATTTTGGAGATAAGGTCTTGGGACCTATTTGCCTGAACTGGCCTCAAACTGTCATCCACCAGATCACATTCTCCCAAGTAGCTAGGATTGCAGGTGTGAGCCACCAGCACCTAGCTTGGCAACCCATCCTTAGGTTAAGGTAGTTTCATTTGTTTTTGATCTTTCACTCTCCTAAAGGCAAATTTTTATTTAATCCATCTCTTGGCAAAGTACTGTCTATGTACACAGTATTGGGAATACTTCTTTCCCTGAGGGGTATTGATTTCACTTTTAGAATGTACTTAATTATTTAAATCGTGACTCAGACCTTGTGTGAAGCAAGTTGTGGTGATGCAAGCGTATAGTTCTAGCTACTCAGGAAGCTGAGGCAGGAGGATCTTGAACCCGTGAGTTCAAGACTAGCTTGGGCAATAACAACAAAAACTCAACTTAAGTCTGGTATTCTTCTTACTACAGCAGAACTTGGAATGTTATAGTATATAAAAGTCATGGTCTTAGTGTTTTATTGTATCTCCATTAAATTCCTAATTATATCCTTTGACTTTCAAAGTTAAAATGTGGCAATTGCTTATATATCCTACTAAGTTGTATTATTACTATCACCAATATCAGAACATTGATACATAGACAAAGGAGGAAAATGTTCTCAGTATTTTGCTGTTGTCTGAAGAGATAGTGTAATCTGTTTCTCTCTCTCTCTCTCTCTCTCTCTCTCTCTCTCTCTCATTGGTGGTATTGGAGTTTGAACTCAGGGCCTTGCACTTGCTAGGCAGGCATTCTACCTCTTGAACCACGCCCTCATCCCTGAGATAGTATAATTTTTTGTCATTGCTTCTTGTTACTAGAGATGCTACAATTGAAAGCAGAAATTCTTATTAAGAAAAGCTTCTTCTTCCCCTAGAATAACAAGAACCCTTTCTGTATTACTTACCATAATTTGTTTAGGCAAATGAAAATACAGGAACATAGGTGTTTAGAAGTTAGCCTCTCAGTAGCCAAACACATTCTACTTAATAAGTAAAGAATTCAGGCTTGCAAGAGCAAGACCCTAAGTTCAATCCCCAGTACCGTCCTCCCCCCAAAAAAATGAAAAAAAAAATTAATAATAACATTGTTTGTAAATGTATTTCCTTGTATTTCTAGAATTTTAATTTAAAATAATATGATTGTAGCTATACATATAAAGCTTGATCTAGGTCATAGTATTCTACTAAAATTTAGAAATGGGATTAAAGGTTTGGCCAAGTATAGGGTGCCTGCCTAGCAAGCATGAGACCCTCCTTAGTCAAAAAAAAAAAAAAGAATGGTTTAGAAATATATGGCTTCATGTAGCATCCTGCATTTAATTTGTCTCTAGTTTTGATAATACATTGCTACACCATTTTAAAAATGAGAAGAGTGCTATACCATTACATAGAGATTAGAACCTATGAGACGGCTCAGAAATAGAAAATTTAAACTAGACAACAGAGGCCACAATGTGCCAGTGTATATCAGGGACCTAAAACATGGCTAGAAAGATTGAGTATTACCAAGGTTGCTTCCTAAAAGCAAGCAAGCATTTTGTGACCTTGCTATGTAAGCAGTAACATGCTTTTTCTACTGGTACTTTTCCCCTTAGAATATCCTTTTATTTATCCTGCTCTTTCCTAGTCCATCTCAATAATGTTCTTTACAGAAACAATTCTATTGAGGTCAAGTTGACATAGAGTAGAGTTCATGCCCTTTTTTCATTTTGTTTTTTTGAGAGAGGGTCTCACTATGTAGCCCATTTTGGCCTTGATTTCATGATCCTCCTGCTTGAACCATCCACAGTGCTGCGATTTACAGGGATGCACCACTATGCTTGGCTTATTCATGCCCATTTAAGTGTGTCTTTCAATGATAAATTTGTTAATGTAAGTACCACCACAATCAACATATAGAACATTTCCTGTTAATATTTCCTAACCCCGGAGCTTCATAATCTCTTATTCCTTGTGATCCTCACCATGTTCAGAGCTCATTTATTCTTCAAGAGCTTACCACACAGCTGGACACTGGTGGCTCACGCCTGTAATCTTAGGTACTCAGGAGGCAGAGAGTAAGAGGATCTTGGTTTGAAGCCAGCCCCAGGCAAATAGTTCTCAAGACCCTATCTCCAAAAATACCTAACACAAAAGAGGGCTGGTGGAGTAGTGTTCAAGTGTAGAGCACCTGCCTAGCAAGTGTGAGGCCCTGAGTTCAAACCCCTCCAAGCTTACCACATGCTAAACACTGTGTTAGGTGCTGAAGGTACAGTGGAAAGTGGAAAATAGGATCATTCTTGTATTCTAAAAATGTTAGAGACTCACTGGGAAGAAAGACAAAATACGATATGGAAAGTGCTTCAAAAGAACATAAGTACTGGGGATGAGACTGTAGCTTTGGTAGAGCACTTTCCTAGCATGTGTGAGGCCCTGGGTGAGGGGAAAAAAAAAAAGCAAGTAAATACAGAATATTGTGTGACCATATAGAAAACAATCTCCTAATTTAAACTGGAAGAGATTTTAAGGGCAAGATCTTTGGAGATCCCTAAACTTAACCTAAAGGAAAATAATGAGACAAAGAGAGGGAGAATGAAATTGCAAGCAGAAAGATTACCATGTGTAAAAGTAAAGTGGGCATCTTTTATATGCCCATTGTAGGAGCTAGCAAAAATTGGAGGGCTTGGGTGAGAAGAGTGATCGTTTATTGCTGTCATTCTAGCAGTAACAGAGTGATAGGTAAAACATGGCAACAAATGAGCTGGGAGATGTGTGGCCCAGTGGAAGAGCACTTTACCCCCAGCATAGCAAAAGCAAAATAAAATAAAACAGACATAATGCGTGCATTTGTTTGGTAATAGGGAAACCAGTTAACAAAAAAAGTGGACTCATCAGTTTGGCCCTAGTTTTTTTGGACATAGGACAGGTTGAAATTGATGATTATCCTTATTGGAGACATGCTATCTTAGGGATCTTGGTATTTAGCAAAGGGCCTATAGAGACTAAGCATTAATCTAAAAAGTAAATATGGACACATTACTACAAATTCTGTAGTCTGCAGATGCCTAATAATACCAAAGAAAGGGAGACAAGAATGAATTAATAAGTTACTGGTGACAAATTCTGTTTTCTCTGAATGAACACTTGATAAAAATAAATATGTGTTCCCAACCTTTCCTCTCCCCATCCAGACATGAGAGCTTATAGTGTATTGAAGAAGTACATTGCATCGTTATTCTGTCAAAGCCTTTCCAAAGGACAGTACAAGGAAATAGGAGATGCTGGTGGCCGCTACATTAAGAAATAGAAAGTAGGTTTTAAGTGAAGGAAAGAAAGGCATTTGTCAATACTTATTTAAAACTGTTGGTACCTGAGTAGAGTTTCTTTGAAATGGAGCCACAAGTTATTTCTGTGATGTTTGTCTTGTGATCCTAAGATTTATCCATTTTTAATCCTAAGATTTTTAATTGCTTGTAATTGCTTTTTGGTGTATATTAAAAGGAATTCTGTTGTTCTTGACTTTAAGATACTCATTAACCCCATCTTTCCTTTGGAGCCTAAATGTTTCCACCTCCTTTTAAAGGTGGATTTCATTGACTGGGTAGACAACATGTGGCCAAGGCATTTGAAGGAAAGCCAGACTGAATCAACAAATGCCATCTTGGAGATGCAGTACCCTAAAGTGCAGAAGTAAGTGACTTGTCCTACGTTTTCCTCAGTGCTCTATGTGAGACAAGTGATAGTAAGGAATACTTCTTCCCTTTCAAGATTTGCTGGGTACTAATCATCAAAAAGATGAATTATGTAGAGTGGATGTTCCAAAAGGAAGAGTATGTGTGAGAGTTACCAGAGTACATGCTCTCATGAGTAAAGGAAAAGCTATCCTTCTGGCAGTGTGATGATTTAAAATTGCATTCCTTCTACCTGTGAGGAGTTGATTAGATGGAAGATGGAGTAAACAGGAAGAGTGTGGTGTTTGGTGAGCAGGTGCTTTTTTTTTTTTTTCTCCTTTTTTTAGGTCAGTGCACTAATGCTGCTGCTTTTCTTTGGGTCAGGTACTGTCTAATGAGTGTTCGAGGCTGCTATACTGACTTCCATGTGGACTTTGGTGGTACCTCTGTTTGGTATCACATCCACCAAGGTGGAAAGGTACGATCATAGTTGTTGGGGGATTGGAATCTGAAGCTGATTATATGACATTGCTTCAGGTCATGCATGCTTATTATACCCTAGAATTGAGTCTATTAATAAAACTCTCCCTATTCATATCTGATGAGAATTGTAGATTAAGTTGCCCTTTGTGGCTATAGTTTCAGTAGGAGTTTTAGTATTTATCTTGTCCATTGCTACTACACCAGTATTAGCCCAATTCTTAGGAAATCTCAGCAGTCCTGTTTTTTAGACTTCGAAAGCAGAGTTCTCCAAATGAAGCAAAGAAGGTAAATTTAAGAGGACAACACAATTTCTGTAGTGGAAATATAATAATAGAGTGATGGGAATACAAATTTTGGATAGATTCACAGTGAAATCAGCAAATTAGGATCCAATCAACTTTCCCTGTATGGAAGCATTGATGTGAAATGTGGCCCAAGGTAGACTTTACATCTTTCTGAGGATGTAAATAGATAAGAGAACCTTCATTCGTAAAATTATATTCTAGCTTCTCAGAGTGTGTCTGAATTCTGTGTGAAAATGGAAATCTAGAATTAATATCAGAAGTTTACAGTGTTAGCCTTTTTTAGCCCTACTAGATCTGAACGCATTTATGAGCAAAAGTAGAACTGGAATGAAAACAGATAATGGGTTTTTTTAAATGGAAGGTCTTAATGTAGAACAACTATATCTCCAAATCCAAAAGTCGCTTTGTTTACTTTAGATCTTAAGTGGTATCTTAAATTCTGTCCTATTGGTCTTATTTACTACCTTGTAATAAAGCAGCCCCAGGCCAGTCTCTTGAAGGTATAGCACTTAAATAATGGGGCTGTTTAAGACTAGAGAGGCAAGACAACCAGGGCTTATAATTAACTGCCCAGATAATGAGCCCGAGGCCCCTTTTCTTTCTGAGTCCTGAATGGGTTATGTGTTCTGTACCCAAGGATGATCAAGTGGTTGACAGAGAAAAATCTACTTCCTTGGGCCCTCAGAGTTGCTCAAATAGTCAGGTCGTGTGTGACTATTGTTTGTGTGTCTTTTATCTGGTGACATTAGCTATGCACTTGAGTATCAGTTGAGGGAGAGGACTGGGTCAAGTCAATGGCTGTTAACAGACTGAAGTTTTTTAACTCACAGGTCTTCTGGCTCATCCCCCCTACAGCCCACAACCTGGAGCTGTACGAGAATTGGCTGCTGTCAGGGAAACAGGGAGACATCTTTCTGGGTGACCGTGTGTCAGATTGCCAACGCATTGAGCTCAAGCAGGGCTATACCTTCGTCATTCCTTCAGGTAAGCAAGCAAGGTGGGGAAAGTTTCCTAGATACTTTTTTTTTTTCCCCTGTCTTTTTTTCATGCTGGGATTGAACCCAGGGCCTTGCCTATGCTAGGCAAGCGCTCTACCACTGAGCGCTTAATATCAGAAGTTTATCCCAGCCCCTTTCTTTTCTTAAGGAAAAGGAAACTGATGGATCACCACCAAAAATGGTTATGATGCTGGGGTGGGCAGCAAACAATGGTATCCTTTCTTGTTGTTACGGAGTAGATGCTGAGAATATGAATGTTAAAAAAAAAAAAAACAACTTTAAAACTTAAGTATGTATCAGAATTGCCAGTGGAAGCTTTTCAAAAGATCTACATGTTCGGACCCCACATTAGCCTCAGTAGTTTAAAATCTCTATTTGAGTCCAGCCTGGGCTATATAGTGAGACCCTGTCTTTAAAAAAAAAAAAGTAATCTGAGAAAACCATACTGCATACTTCAGTGTGTGCTTTCAGCTTCTGTTTCTGCACCCGTTTGTTTCTTCCAGGCTGGATTCACGCTGTGTATACTCCTACAGACACGTTAGTATTTGGAGGCAATTTTTTGCATAGTTTCAATATCCCCATGCAATTAAAGATATACAACATTGAAGATCGGACACGGGTAAGTAATTTTGTGTAACATTTGGGTGTGAAGGGGTTTACTCCCATTTAATTAAGACAGATGTTAGTGGGACATGGTGGTGCATACCTATAATCTCAGCACTCTGGGAGACCAAGACAGGAGGATTATGAGTTCAAAACCAACCTGAGCTACATATGTCAAGACTCGATCTCAAATTTCTCAAAAAAAAAGCCAAAATGCGTGTGCTGGTGGCTCATGCCTATAATCCTAGCTACATGGGAGGCTGAAATTGGGAGGATCCTGGTTCAAAACCAGCTGGGGCAAATAGTTTGTAAGATTCCATCTCCAAAATAACCAGAGGAAAATGAACTAGAGGTGTGGTTTAAGTGGTAGAGAGTGCCTGGTTTGCAAGCGCTGATGCCCTGAATTTAAACCCTAGTCCCACCAAAAATAAAATAAAAAAAAGAGAGGGAGATGTTACAAGAGATTCATGGATAGTTTGTAAAAACTTTCAGTTTTCCTGTGGGTTAAAATGCACTATCCACATATTGGGAACACAGGAAAATAAATTAAAATCTTCATACTTGGTTTTGAGACTCCAGTTCTTTGAAATTCTTGGTGTCTTGGATTTTTATAGGATCCAAGTTGGATATCTGGTTAATCTCCAGAGCCATAATTTTCATTTTTATGTTCATGAAATAATTTGGTGTAATTGAGTTTATCAACTCAATTTTCACAGCTTTAAATTCCTGTACCTTTTTTTTTTTTCCTTGGTGGTACTGGGGTTCGAACTCAGGGCCTCACGCTTGCTAGGCTGGTGCTCTGCGACTTAAGGTACACCTCTAGCCCATCATGTATCTTTATTCTTTAAAACATAAATGTATTTACTGTCTTTCTTAACTGGGGTTTCATGAAAGAATCAAACCTTACAGAAAATAATTGTATGTGTCTTATTTTCTCAGTTTTCCTTTGATAGTACATAGCTGACTGGTACCATTCTAGATAAATAAGAAAAAGAGTTAAAAGAGAGTTAATTATTACATACTATCAATACCTAAGGCAAGAGTTGTTCAGCTTTTTCTGTAAAGAATCAGATAGTAATTTATTTTAGGCTTTCTGGGCCATAAAGTATTTGTTGCAACTATTTAATCCTGTCTTGTAGTATGAAATATTTAAATATCTTATACTCATATTCCAAGCCAGCCTGAGACCCTGTCACAACAGAAAAAACTGGGTGTGGTAGCACACATCTGTCTTCTCAGCTACTGGGAGAGGCATAAGTAGGAGGATTGAAGTCCAGGCTGTCCTGGGCAAAAAAAATGAGACTATCTCAAAGATAATGAGAACAAAAAACACTGGCGGCATGGCTCGAGTGCTTGAGCACTTGCCTGGTAGGTGCAAACCACTGAGTTAAAAAGATACATGTAGGTATCTTTGAAAACAATTTCATCCCAGTCTTAGAAATTAATATGTTCTGTGATACTTGGCAGCATAGGTAAAATGTACTATGGACAAATTGAATGTGTGATGTTGTGATTATTATTAATATAGTCTGATAAGTTATGAGTAAAAAACAAAAATTTTTTTTTTCCCCTACAATTAGACTTTGCTGTTGTCCAAGTTGGCCCTGAACTCCTGGGCTCAAAAGATCCTTCTGCTTCAGTCCCCAAGTAACTGGAACTACAGGCATGCACCATCATGCCTGCTAAAAATATTAGAAATTTAATACCTTTATTTTCTTCCCTCCCTCCCTGTTTTTTTCTCAGTATTAGGGATTGAACCCAGGACCTCGTTCTTGCTAGGCAAGTACTCTACCACTTGAGCCAGGTCCCCAACCCCTCTGTGGAATTTTTTTCTTCGTCTTCTTTTTTTCCTGCTTTTTAGTAGTAATCTGACATCACCTAGGCCCCCTTTTTATTTTGTTTTTGAGATAGAGTCTCACTAACTTTGGCTGATCCTCCTGCCTCCAGCCTCCTGAGTAACTGGGATTACAGGTGTGCACACCTGACTATTATCCTACCCTCTGGCAGGATAATATATCCCAAACTTTTATTTTCTTCTTATTCTTTTTTTCTATTCTTTTTCTTTTTGATAGTACTAGGGTTGAACTTAGAAGGCCTTGCCCTTGCTAGGCAGGCACAATACCACTTGAGCCACTCTGCCAGCCCTGTATTTTTTTGATAATTTCTCACTCAACCAAGACTGATTTCTTGGTGGTTCTGAACAGTCTTCCCAAATACGTTCCCAAGACCAACATTTCCTACATTGATGGATCGGCTTAAGTTCTTCCTTTGGATACCAATTGAGTTTGCAGGTTGACTGGCAAGATTTTTTCCTGAGTTCATTATTTTAGTGATTGTGTCTACCTTATTTTTCTTTCCTTGAAAATTGTCATCATTGCCCTATTTCTCATTACTCTGTTCCTGTGTAGGTTCCAAATAAATTCCGCTATCCATTCTACTATGAGATGTGTTGGTACGTGTTAGAGCGCTATGTGTACTGTATAACCAGCCGCTCCCACCTAACTAAGGAATTTCAGAAAGAATCCCTCAGCATGGGTGAGTGTTCTCCTATACAAACTTTCAAGACAATATTTGGCCCAGGAATATTCAGGAGGTTGTTGCTTAGTAGTTATGTTTTTGGGTTTTGATTTTTATTTCCCTACTTGGAAGTACCAAATTTATTCATTGGAATTGGATACTAGATACCCATCCAGATAGGATTATCAGAATAAATGAAATACTGTGAATTTGGTCTTTGTCTGAGTTGCTAGTACTTAGTTCCTCAAGAAAGGTGATGAGTTATCTAATATTTTTATTATATAAAGAATAGTCCTTGGCACAATAAAAAATAAGAATGTATCATTAGAACAACTTTCTTAGCCACTCTGCTACTAAGAAGTTAACATGCATTAAATTCTTACCATTACCTGTGAAGTAGGTATAATTATCCTTGTTTTACAAAGGACAACATCAAGGTTCAAGGGGATTAAAAACTTGCCCTTAATCTTATAGTTAATAAGTGGCAGCTTGAACCAGGCTGATCATATTCTAAAATCTGTTTTCTTAACCTCTATACCTTTTCCCCAACATCTGTCAAGAGAAATGTTTAATTGGATGACATGGTAGTCTCAGTACACATTTTTTAGACTGTTTTCATATCTTTAATTAGAACCAACACTGATTTGCTGTGATCACATTACTATAGAACTTTCAATCGAAGAAAGATAATTTTTGCTTTAACATTTTCTTACTGTACAACTTACTCATGATTTATGCTCTCTTTTGAATATTAAAAATAAAAATGCTCAACCAGTATGTGAAAGCAGCATGGTCCAATCTTGTTTTAAAATACATCTAGACTATTGTGGTGGTACACCCCAATAATCAATGAGGCAAGGAGGATGAGGCAGGAAGATCTTGAATGGGGGCAGGGGAGAGAAATGACCCAAGCCTTGTATGCACATATGAATAATAAAAGAAAAAAAAATTTAAAAAAAAAAAAAGGAAGATCATGAATTCAAGACCAGCCTGGGCTAAAATGCATCTAATCTAGTCACCACATATGCAGGGAAAAATACATTGCAACTAGTTGTTATCCTAGTGTACAGAAATAAGGGACAATTTACTTATACCTTCTTGCATTTTTTTAAAGGAAACGTGTTCTTTTTATAATAATTTTTAAAAAGACCAGTGAACATTATCACTGTTTTAATTATCAAAACCTTTGTTTTCAAAAAGTAGCCACTTTGTTTTGTTACCATATTGCTAGAATTTCAACTCCTCAAAGCTTAATTTTATAACCAGAACTTTGTACAAAACTATGTAAGTATATGCTTTGCACTGTCTACGCATTTACAAGATAACAGAATCATAATTATGAATTTAAGATTAAACTTGAAACTAATTTATACCCCCTCTTATAAGTAGCTGTTCAAAGATTAGGTCATCCCTGCCTTTTAACAATCCAGTTGAGGGTTGGGGTATGGTTCAAATGGCAGAGCGTCTACCTAGCAAGCTCAAGGCCCTGAATTCAAATCCCAGTACCACCAAAGGAAAAAAAAAATTCAGTTGAGCTGGGGACTAGTGGCTCACACCTGTAATCCTAACTACTTGGGAGGCTGAGATTGGGAAGATCAAGGTTCAAGGTCAGACCAGCCAAAAAGTTTGCTGCAAGACCTCATCTTTAAAAATAACCTGAGTAAAATGGACTAGAGGTATGACTCAAGCAGTAGAGAACTTGCTTTGCAAGTACAAAGCCCACGTTCAAACCCCAGTCGTACACATACACATACACACACGCACACACACACACAATCTAGTTGAGCCAGATGTCATGGCACAGCTCTGTAATTCCAGCCCTAGGAGGCAGACAAGACCCTATCTCCTAAAAGAAACCCTATTTCTACCTGTAGTCATCATTTTCAACAGTGCACAGATGGGTTAGAATGAGGAGGGACTATTTTTGTTTCTAGCATATATTCATTGTACAGAGGAGACTCATTGTGCCAATTCTGTATAGCCTTACATTGAACACTGGTTAGATTGCCCGCACTATCTCCTGCCCCCTCCCCTCTCCGCCGCAGTCCCCTCTCCACTCCACTTAAAGCAATTGCAGTCATTCTACTTCATATATATATATATATATATATATATATATATATATATATGTATCAAGTCATAGTCCCTCACCTTCATCTCCTCCATTCATCCTACCCTCTCCCACAAGTACCCCCATACACATACATGCGCACACACACACACACACACACACACACACACACACACGGTACTTATTTTACTGTCCTGTCTTTTTAATTCTAAAGTCAGTTATCAAAGGGGTTTCCCAGTGTATCCCAACTTTGGTCAGTTCAACCCCCAGGAAGAGACTATTTTAAAATAACCCTTGTCATCTATAACCTCAAGGTCATTCTCATGCCACCTATTTCTCTTGTTGGTCACATAGCCAGCTGGCATGTTCTTACTGCATTTTTTGTGTTGGTAGATTTGGAGTTAAATGGATTGGAGTCTGGAAATGGGGATGAGGAAGGAGTAGACCGAGAACCCCGACGCTTGAGCAGTAGGCGCTCTGTCCTCACTAGCCCTGTAGCTAATGGGGTCAACCTGGATTATGATGGACTGGGCAAAGCCTGCCGAAGTCTTCCAAGTCTGAAGAAAACTTTGTCTGGAGACTCATCCTCTGACTCTAGCCGGGGCTCCCACAATGGCCAAGTGTGGGATCCCCAGTGTAGCCCCCGAAAGGACAGACAAGTGCATCTGACCCAATTTGAGCTTGAAGGCCTTCGCTGCCTTGTAGATAAGTTGGAGTCTCTGCCACTGCACAAAAAGTGTGTCCCCACAGGGATAGAAGACGAAGATGCTCTCATTGCTGATGTAAAGGTAAGCAACTATTGACCTGAATTTGGAAGAGAAGGGCACATAGACATGGGATAGTCTCTGGTTCAGCCACAGAAAAGTTAATATGTGCATGTGTTTGCTAGTGCTGCTCAATGTTTCAGTTCCTAGAAAGGGGGGGCGGTGGGCATTAGGTCTTCCTGTTAGGAAAATACTAACATTTATATAAGTCTTCAGTGAGAACTTAAATTTAGTCCTCAAAACACTAAAGGTGAGCCTGAGAAGGTATGTACGTTAAGAAATAATACTTTCAACTTAAGTTATACTCAGATAAAGAGGCCTATTGCAGGACAAAAGAGAGGCCAATAGCAATCTCATCCTAAAGAGATAAAGTTGGATTATATAACTATTATATATATTGCATCTTACATATGTATTTTTATATATAATTTATATATTATATGTATACATAATCCAACATAATCTATGTTGGATTATACTTAGTAGGTTTAGCATCTTTAGTTTCAGATTTGTAGTATTAAGACTTAATGTATTTGGGAAAACTTCTAAGAAAAGTGTCATTTTAAATATAATCCATTTTTCTGCTATATCAAGCGTCTTTGTGTTAAATATTTTTCCTTTTTGTGTGTTTGGTTTGATGGTACTGGGTTTGAACTCAAGAGTCAAGTATCTTGGTAGAACTTCCTTAAGTAAAGCCATTGGAGTAGTTTAAAGTAGCTAAATGAGGGTTGTTTTGTTTTGTTTTGTTTTTGTTTTGAGAGAGAGAGAGAGTGTGTGTTTTGTGTGTGTGTGTGTGTGTGTGTGTGCGCGCGTGTGTGTGTGCGTGCGCGCGCGCGCGTTGGCAGCGGGGCTGGAGCGGAGATCAGGCAGACAGCCTATGTAGCACAGGGTGATCTCAAATTCGTAGTCCTCCTTCTTCAGTCTCCCAAATTCTGGGATTAAGGTGTGCATCTTGGTGCTTGTATTAAATATGGAAATTTGAGAAAACAGTGTTACATTGATATATCAGGGGAAAATGTAAAAAGATTTGGTTCAACTATTAAGCAAAGTAGAAGTAGGCAGCAGGAAGGTGAGTGACTTAAGAACAGACATCCAGAAAGTGTTCCTAGCATTATGAAAAGCACACAGGGAGTTTTCTTCTGTTTACCAGGGATCACTGGGAAACATGGCTGCCAACAATGGCTAAGATACAAGAGCAAGGTCAGAACATGAGGAACTACAATAAGTCTGCCTTATTTGTGGATTTATTACACATGGTTTTGACCATGAATAGTTAAAATAGATAATAAACAGTTAAATCAAAGTAAGTTCAAAAACAAAACTTTTAAGTTCCTGTGTGCATTATGAAGCTCAGTTGATGTGGAAAAGCTCTCAGTCCCATGTTATCATCAGTTGTATTTAAATCATTGTTTGATCTTCTCAGTGTTTCTCTGCCTTTAATTTTATGAAAATATACCTCCTAAAAAGGAAATGGTACTCAAAAAACATTAAAGTGAATGCGCTTAAGTGATAAAGTAAAAACTTAGATTTATTGAAAGATGGCATGTCTTCAGTAGAAGCTGGCTTGTGTTGTGAGAAGAATGACCCAAGCATCTGCAGTACAGCATACATCATGAGCATGTGCAGTTTTTATGCTCGCTGTATACCAAGGATCTCCTGTAGTGGCCCACGGACTGAGGAGCTTGTCTATACCTTCTTTTTTATTTAACCTGCCATATTTTAATCATCCAAATCTCTTTTTATTATTATGTTTTTGTGGTACTGGGCTTTGAACTCAAGGCTTCATGCTTACCAGACAGGTGCTCTACAACTTGAGCCACTCCACCAGCCCTGTTTTGTAGTGGGTATTTTCAAGATAGGGTCTCACAGACTGTTTGCCCAGGCTGACTTCACACCATCATCCTCCTGAGTAGCTAGGAGTGTAGGCATGAGCCACTGGCGCCCAGCTCCACACCTTCTCTCCTTTACTACAAATGAGAAGTCAAAATTGAGCCCATGTGGAGCTGGGCATGGTGGTGCTTGCTTACAGTAACAGCTACTATAGGAGGCAGAAGCAGGAAGACCACTTGAGCCCAGGAATTGGAGGCACTCCAACTGCAGCCTGAGCAACATCATAGGACCCCCTCCTTAATTTATCTCTCTCTCTATTCACTGGGGAGTGACACTGGAGTTTGAACTAAGAGCTACATGCTTGCTAGGCAGGCATTCTACCATGTGAGCCACACCCCCAGCCCAAGGTCCCCTTTCTTTAAAAAAAAAAAAAAAAAGTGTAGCCAATGTCAGAGGACACATTTCATTTTCAGAAACTAGTAGTTTAAGAGCAAATGAATTGCTAAACATGGTGTTGCACAACTTCAGTCCCCAGCACTCAGGAGGATAAAGCAGGAGGAGATTGTAAATTTGAGACCATCCTAGTTTAAATAGTCTCAAAAAAAAGATGACGTGGATGGATTAGTTTATTCCTATGTTTGACCAGTTATTTTGAGAGATTTAGATAAAGTGAGTTTGAGGTTGAACCTTAAGCATTACTCAAAAGAAACAAAAACATTGAGTTGGGTCGGTGCAGAATCACTGCACTACAGTGGGATAGGAAAGAAAGCACAGAAGTTTGCCTTCATTGTAGCAAGGGGAATTGTTTCCTACTGAATTTATCTGGGTCTCAGAAATAACTAGTGGAAAAAGTGAAAGGAAAGTGATGAAATGAGATATCCATACTTAGATATTTCCTTGAAGAACAGCCCATTTTAGTACTGCGATGAAAGATTTTGAAGATTCTAAAATGTTACCTTTTACAGTGTTTTAGAAAGAATCATAGAATATAGAGTTGGAAGGGGATTAAATGAAAAATAGAGATTTAAAAGCTGTTGGCTGATTGGTAAAGCAAATCAGCATGAATAAAACTCTGTTCAGAAAGGATGTGTGTAACCTTGACTCCTGAGAAAGTGTACTAAAGGTAAAATGCAGTTCTTTTGTACTGTGAGGTACTCTTACATTTCTAAAGTTGAAAAGTTGCAACCTTAATATATGTTAAATAAAAAGACAGTTTTTACTCCCATCTCCTAGATCAGCAGGAAATGTTTCTCCTTCCCTGCCCTCCCCCCTTTCTCCCTACTTTATCCTTTTATACTAAAATAAATCCTTGCTTTAAAAAAAAAAAAAAAGATAGGGCATGGTAGTATGCATAGAACAATCCTTTTAATGTAAGCAGATATCTTATGTTTGTGCGTTACAGAGGGTTCTGGAGGTGTACACCCCAACTTGCTGACAGGAGAGCACAGCAGGATGGTGAGAGTCAGCTGGAAGAACTTGCTATTTAAATATTTATTTATTTAGAGACAGGATCTCGCTGTGTAGCCTAGGCTGGCCTCAAACTTGGGATCGTTCGGCTTCTGCCTTCTGAGTGATAGGAGTGCAGGCAGGTGCCACGACACCCAGCTAAGAATTTGCTTTTTTATAATTAAGGATTTTGAATAAGTGTGTGTGGTTTTTTGCTTATTTTCAGCAGTACTGGGGTTTGAACTCAGAGCCTTTTGCTTTAATTGGACTTTATTGTTTGTGCCTATTTGGTGACAAAAGAAATCTCAGTGTATGTACATTGTGACTTTGGGACACATTACAAGATTTATGAAAGCCTGTTTTCTCCTCTATAAAATATCTCTATGAGATTGTTGTTAAAATTAATGATAAGAGCTGGAAGTGGAGCTCAGTGGTAGAAAATGTACTTAGCATGTTCAAGGCTCTGAGTTTGGTCCCAACACCAAAACCCTAAAATATTTTGGTTTTGATGGTACTGGGGTTTAAACTCAGGGCCTTGTACTTTAACTTGAGCAGAGCCTCTAGCCTCAGAAAACTAAAACTTAATGTTAGTAAAGTAGTTAATATGCAGTAGCATTATTGTATCAAGTTACAAACGTAGGAAATTCACTTATTCCACTACTGCCTCCTGTGTGCCAGAAACCAGACTAAGTATTAGGATTGCTACGCAGATATGCACTGGTTTCAGCCTCAAGGGCCTTATAGTCCACTAGTACAGCTGGCATTTAAATAGGTTAAGAAATAAGTGCAGTCTGCGTTTGCAGGTGCTATGTATGACACAGGACACAAAGCAAACACTGGGAGGGTGGCAGAGTCCATCTCAAGGGAAGGAAGGAACAGGTACTATCTTCTCAGTTCACCAGCTGGTACCAGTTGCCCTGCCAGATGACGCAAATTGATTACTAATTATGTAAATGGAAACCCCCCTCAATTTATTAATTGAAAAATTGTTCATTGTGGTACAATAGGTTAATGCTACTCTTACCTAAGATATTCTCTCTCTCTC